TATGAAAAAGCAAAGAAAAAGAAAACCAAACACCCCAATGATGACCACTCCCGCAAACGTATAAAGGACCACGATCTGCGAATCTGCACTTGGAATGTGCACACGTTGTACAGAACAGGCGCAGTGTTCGCTTTGGCGGATGTACTCACGAAGTACAAAACAGATATTATTGCTATACAGGAAATGCGATGGAAAGGGACTGGCGTAAGTAAATCAGATGATTACGCCCTATATTATAGCTGCCATGAAACGAGACATGAATTTGGCTGCGGAGAATAAAAGACCTCGTCTCCAGATTCACTCCACTAGATGAGCGAATTGCTATAATTCGTATAAAAGCGTAGTTCTTCTACATCAGTCTCATTTGCGCCCATGCTCCGGCCTAAGATAAAGATGAACAGACCAAAGACATATTTTACGAGCGCCTAAAAACAGCAGATGACCGTTGCCCTGGCCATGGCATTAAAATTCTGCTAGGAGATTTTAATGCAAAAATCGGAAGGGAAAATATCTTTGACCCCACCGTCGGAAAATTCAGCCTTCATGAAAAAATATCCGACAACGGCATGAGGTTGATTGAATTCGCGGCAGCAAAAAACATGATAGTTAGCAGCACCAGATTCAAGCACCTCGATATACACAAGGCCACCTGAATCTCTCCTGAGCAAGCAACGAGAAATCAAATTGATCATGTTGTGATAGACGGAAGGCATTCATCCAGTGTTTTAGACGTCCGATCGATCCGAGGAGCGAATATCGATTCCGACCATTACCTTGTGGCAGCCAAGGAACGCACCCTTCTTAATATAGCAGCAAAGGCGCGATCTAACACAACACGGAAACTTGACGTCGAAAAGCTGCAAACACAACAGGTAGCCGAGGCCTACTCCGCTCAACTTACCCACCTGCTTGAAGAAAGCACTTCTTGTTCCGATAACAGTATAGAAGCATAATGGCAAAGAATTGCCCATTCCCTACAAACTGCAGCAAAAGCAACACATGGGTACCAAAAACCACCACCAAGAAACCCATGGTACGATCAGGAGTGTCGTAATGCTATAGAAATGAAAAACGCAGCGTATGGGTCAACACTGCAGACCATAGCAACACGTTACGTGATGGAGAATTATCGGGAGAAAAGGATGGAGGAGAAACGTGGAGTCAGAATGAAGTCCGGAAATTTTACCAACGAGTAAAACACCAAACCGAAGGCTTTGGTGCAGGCACATCCTCCTGTAGAGATGAAGAAGGAAACCTGAAAGGAGCATTTTGAAAAGCTTCTGATCATCAAATAATGGTGGTGAAGAAGAGTGTATACCACCTAGCCAAGATAAGGTCATAAAATCAATTAATCGGCTCAAGAACAATAAAGCAGCAGGAGCCGATGGGTTACCAGCCGAATTATTCAAGACTGGTGACCAGATGCTGGTCAGGAACATGCACCAGCTGATTAGTACAAAAAAGTAGACAACACGATATGTGCCAACTATAGAGGAATAAGTCTCCTTCCCATCGCATATAAAGTGATATCCAGTGTGATGTGTGAACGACTGAAGCCAATGTTCAATGACATCATTGGACCATACCAATGTGGCTTCAGACCTGGCAAATCCACCATTGACCAGATTTTCACTCTTCGCCAAATCCTGGAAAAGACCCACGAAAAACACATCGACACGTACCACCTATTTGTTAGGGCTGTCAAAGCCGCATTTGACAGCCCAATCCGTTCAGAGGTGTTTAACGCCATATCTACGTTCGGAATTCCTGCAAAATTAATACGGCTATGCAGGATAACTTTAAGTGGCACAAGGTCAGCAGTTAAAATAGGAAAGGACCTATCGGAGCCCTTCAATACCGAACGAGGATTTAGACAAGGTGACAGTTTGTCGTGTGATCTAGTTAACATCCTGCTCGAAAAGGTCATACGAGACGCAAAGGTGAACAGAAATGACACTCTGTACACCCATCAACACATGTTACTTGCCTACGCCGATAACATCGATATAATGGGCGAACATTGCGAGCGTTAACAGCCACCTTTGAACAAATTGAAAAGGGGTCTGCCATAGTGGGTCTGGTAGTAAACGGCGTGAAGACCAAGCTGATGATATCAACGCGCAAGACATTCAGTATACTCGGGCCAACTGTGGATCTTTGAAACTACAACTTCGAGGTAGTTAAAGATTTTATATACCTTGGTACCGTTATAAATAAAACGAATGACATCAGTTTTGAAATTCGGAGAAGGATTTTGATGGCCAACAGATGCTACTATGGTTTAAGTTAGCAGTTAAGAAAACACCTTTCCGCCAGACCAAACTCACACTTTACAAGACGCTGATACTACCCGTGCTATTATATGGATCTGAAGCATGGATACTTGCGCAAGCAGATGAGACAGCTCTAGGGGTGTTTGAAAGAAAAATTCTCCGAAAGATCTACGGGCCGATCTGCGTCGACGGTGAATATCGGCGTCAAATGAACCACAAGCTTTACAATTTATACGCGGACATCGACATAGTCAGTCGTCGAATCAGTCGAATGAATGAGAATGCCCCAGCTCAAAAGTCATATAAAATCGAGCCTACTGATGGTTCCCGTAGAAGAGGAAGGCCACGAATTAGATGAAAATACCATTTGTGGATTTGCGCACAAGACCGACGCGCTTGGAAATATTTTTATACTCTTCACCACACTGTGATACAGGGTATTATGTCTTTGTGCATATGTTTGTAAGATGCAAAAATATTCCAGATAGACCCATGGTTCCTTTTGAGAATATGCATAGAATCACTTTCTGAGTCGATTTATGCATGTCCATCCGTCCGTCTCTTGGTGTTAAATTGTAAACAAAGTACAGGTCGCATTTATTATCCGAATTGGATGAAATTTGGCACAGCTCACTTGTTTGGCCCAAGGACGAACCCTATTGAAATTGGGAAAAATCGGTTCAGATTAAGATGTAGCTCCCATATATATTTTCGTCCGATTTAGGGTAAATGGTGTACCAAAGTCCCTATATATCTTTCGATTTGAACGAAATTAGGCAAAGCGTAATGAATAAGGTTTAGAATGATGTGTGCAAAGTTTCGTGAAAATCGGTTCAGATTTAGATATAGCTCCCATATATAGCTTGGCCCGATTTTAGGTAAATAGTCCACGAAAGTCCCTGAAAATCGTTTGATTTGCACGAAATTTGGCACAGCGTAATGAATAAGGTCTAGAATGATGTCTGCCAAGTTTCGTCAAATTCGGTTCAGATTTTGATATAGCTCACATATATGTCTTCGTCCGATTTAAGGTTAATTGTGCACCAAAGTCTCTATATATCTTTCGATTTGCACGAAAATTGGCACAGCGTACTAAATTACGTCTAGAATTATGTGTGCAAAGTTTCGTGAAAATCGGTTCAGATTTAGATATAGCTCCCATATATAGCTTCGTCCGATTTTAGGTAAATAGTCCACGAAGGTCCCTGGAAATCTTTTGATTTGCACGAAATTTGGCACAGCGTAATGAATAAGGTCTAGAATGATGTGTGCAAAGTTTCGTGCATATCGGTTCCGATTTAGATATAACCCCCATATATAGTTTCGGCCGAATTTAGGTAATTGGAGCACCAAAGTCCCTGGAAATCTTTGACACAAAGTACTGATGTAATATAAATTCTTCTCTGGCAAGTTTCCCCGAAATCGGTTCAGATATAGATATATAACAAAAACGTGTCGTCTGTTAGGATACATATGTAGAATATACCCAAAGTGGTGAAGGGTATCATATAGTCGGCCCAGTCCGACTTTACTACTTTCCTTACTGGTTTCTATATAGGCACCCTATCGCCCTGACTGTCAACTTGTTTAAGCTCGGCTTATGGAACAACCGTTCTGTAACAAGCCAGCTAAGTATGTAAGTAAGTAAGTAAGTAAGAAGAATTAACATACATTTGATTTAATTCGAAATTGTCTGCATAAGTCATTTGGCATTTTCCAATAACAGCTTGTAACATCGTCCATTACAACCATTACCAATACATACATATAAATGACCATAATATGATTTTGATTTACTGTCATAATTTAATTAATTATTGGTTGAATTGTGGAAAAATGGATGCATGGTTAGCTAACACTATTACTACGAATACATAGACAAAGAGGGTCTAAATGCCATTGACCACAACTACATATATAACTCACATACACATGTCAACGTATGTATGTCAAATAACCATATCATGAATATCCTTTTTCCCTTTAACGTTAAAAAAGGATTCAATATAAAAAAAGACAAATATGTGAGAATAAAATTCCTCAAAGGTGTCCATAAACCTGTAAACAATTTGTTTCCCTTCTGCTATGGCCATTGTTGTAGTATTACCACCAGCAAAAAATACAAATCATTAAACAATTTATTACAACAATTTGATGGTCATGCCATGGCAATTCAATTTTGTTGTTATTTAAATGTAATTAAAAGTGTACTCGGGATGGAATGCCAGGGCAGACAGACAGACAGGCAGCTAATACACAATGGATGGAGGAAGCGACTGAGTGCATAGATAGCCTGAAGGGTCGGTCTCTGGTCACTTATAGATAGATAGACATATTGACATGTGGGTGTGTATGAGTGTTCGGACAGGTTTGGCAGATGGCTATGATTACTGATGGTAATGTCATCGTCGTCGTTGTTGTTGTATTTGTATTTGCTGTGTGTGATATGTTATTTAGAAAATCTAACTTAATTAAAGTCGTCGATATATCGAAGTCATATGGGCAGATTGTACGATTGGCCCAGCGTGATAGATTCATATAAACCGAATTATATTAAATTATTAAACAATCAATCAGACGATTTAATATGAAAATGACGTATTGGCATTTTTTTGGGTAATTTTATTTCAAATTTGAAAAGGATTGAAAAAAATTTATTACAATTGAAAAGGATCCGAAATTTTAAATTTTATTTGTTTTTTGATTTGAGATTTTCCAAACTGCCACTTATTTTGAATACATGGTACGCAGCAAGGCAAAGAATTTATAAGAGAGCTGCATCAACTGGAAGAAAAAAGGAAATAAATAAAATATTATTAATAACAAGTGAAAAAGCGGTATGTTCGGCCAGGCCGAACTTTGACAGGTACTAGAAATGAAAATATAGGGAACATACCAAAAAGTGGACCTATACCGAAATTTCTAAAATCGGAACACAAATTTAAGAATTTTTAATGGATAATTATACCCTCAGCCTTATGGCTAATGAAGGTGTATATACTTTAACACGGTGAAAATTTAGATATAGCTCCCATATATATTTTCGTCCGATATTATGTAAACAGTCTCTATATATCTTTCGATTTGCACGAAATTTGGTACAGCGTGCTGAATTAGGTATGGAATGATGTGTGTTAAATTTCGTGAAAATCGATCCAGATTTAGATATAGGCCCCTTAAATATTTTCGTCCGATTTAATTTAAATGGTGTAGCAAAGTCCCTATATAACGTCCGATTTGTACGACATTTATCATATGGTATTGAATAAGGTATAGAATGATGTTTGTTAAGTTTCCTGGAAATCGGTCCAGATTTTGATATAGCTTCCATATATATTTTCGTCCGATTTTATGTAAATGGTGCACCAAAGTCCCTATAAATTCCTTCGATTTGCACGAAAATTGGCACAGCATACTGAATAAAATCAAGAATAATGTGTGGTAAATTTCCTGAAAATCGGGTCAGATTTAGATATAGCTCCCATATATATTTTCGTCCGACTTAAGGTAAATGGTGTATCGAAGTCCCTATATATCTTTCGATTTGCACGAAATTTGGCACAGCATACTAAACTAATTTTAGAATGATGCGTGTTAAGTTTCCTGAAAATCGGTTCAGATTTAGATATAGCTCCCATATATATTTTCGTCCGATTTAAGGTAAATGGTGCACCAAAGTCCCTATATATCCTTCGATTTGCACGAAATTTGGCATAGCGTAATGAATTAGGTTTAAAATGATTTGTGTTACGTTTCCTGAAAATCGGTCCAGATATAGATATAGCTCCCATATATATTTTCGTCCGATTTAATGTAAATGGTACACCAAAGTCCCTATATATCTTTCGATTTGCACGAAAATTGGCACAGCATACTGAATGAAATCTAGAATAATGTGTGTTAAGTTTCCGAAAAATCGGGTCAGATTTAGATATAACTTTCATATATATTTTCGTCCGATTTAATGTAAATGGTGTAGCAAAGTCCTTATATATCTTTCGATTTGCACGAAATTTGGCACAGCGTAATGAATATGGTCTAGAATGGTGTGAGTTAAGTTTCCTGAAAATCGGTCCAGATTTAGCTATAGCTCCTATATATAGTTTCCGTCCCATTTTAAGTAAAATGTGGACAAAAAACCTAAAGTTAGACCGATGGGTACCAAATTTTGCACAACGTATCGATGCTAGTATTGCCTAACATTTACCAAGTAGGAATCGGTTCCGATATGGATATAGTTCCCAATTATAGTTTTGTACGATTTTAAGTTAATTGTACACCAAACACCCAAAGTTACGCCTATTGACACAAAATTTTGCACAACCTACTGAAGTTACTATAACCTAGCATGTGGAAAGTTTTGTTGAAATCGGCTCAAATTTGGATAAAGCTACCATATATATTTTTTCCCAATTTAAATAAATGATGCTCCAAGAACTCAAAATGTGGCCGATATACACAAAACATACTGAAATTAGTATAACCTAACCTGTGACAAGTATCGATGAAATCGGTTAAGATTTCGATAAAGCTTTTATATATATTTTCGTGCTCATGTTTATCCAGTTGCAAGAAGCAACTCTATGTCTGATCAAATGAAAAATTTAGTATAGGTTGCAGAATGGCATGTTTATGCCATTCATATTTCATTTTACTGGTCCTTCAAAAATGCGACGTCTGTTAGGATTCATCTGTTGAATATACCCAAAGTGGTGAAGGGTTTCATATAGTCGGCCCCGTCCGACTTTACTGCTTTCCTTACTTGTTTAAGAATAATTTTTTAAGGACCATCCCAGGCGTGGATTTTTAAAGAATAATTTTTTTAAGGGCCTACAAGGCGTGGATTTTTAAAGAATAATTTTTTTCAAGGACCTACAAGGCGTGGATTTTTAAAGAATAATTTTTTCAAGGACCTACAAGGCGTGGATTTTTAAAGAATAATTTTTTCAAGGACCTACAAGGCGTGGATTTTTAAAGAATAATTTTTTCAAGGACCTACAAGGCGTGGATTTTTAAAGAATAATTTTTTAAGGACCATCTCAGGCGTGGATTTTTAAAGAATAATTTTTTCAAGGACCTACAAGGCGTGGATTTTTAAAGAATAATTTTTTAAGGACCATCTCAGGCGTGGATTTTTAAAGAATAATTTTTTCAAGGACCTACAAGGCGTGGATTTTTAAAGAATAATTTTTTCAAGGACCTACAAGGCGTGCATTTTTAAAGAATAATTTATTCTAGGACCTACAAGGCGTGTATTTTTAAAGAATAATTTTTTCTAGGACCTACAAGGCGTGGATTTTTAAAGAATAATTTTTTCAAGGGCCTACAAGGCGTGAATTTTTATAGAATAATTTTTTCAAGGGCCTACAAGGCGTGGATTTTTAAAGAATAATTTTTTCAAGGACCTACAAGGCGTGGATTTTTAAAGAATAATTTTTTCAAGGACCTACAAGGCATGGATTTTTAAAGAATAATTTTTTCAAGGACCTACAAGGCATGGATTTTTAAAGAATATTTTTTTCAAGGACCTACCAGGCATGGATTTTTAAAGAATAATTTTTTCAAGAGCCTACAAGGCGTGGATTTTTAAAGAATAATTTTTTCAAGGGCCTACAAGACGTGGATTTTTAAAGATTAATTTTTTCAAGGACCTACAAGGCGTGGATTTTTAAAGAATAATTTTTTCAAGGACCTACAAGGCGTGGATTTTTAAAGAATAATTTTTTCAAGGACCTACAAGGCGTGGATTTTTAAAGAATAATTTTTTCAAGGGCCTACAAGGCGTGAATTTTTAAAGAATAATTTTTTCAAGGGCCTACAAGGCGTGAATTTTTAAATAATAATTTTTTCAAGGACCTACAAGGGGTGGATTTTTAAAGAATAATTTTTTCAAGGGCCTACAAGACGTGGATTTTTAAAGAATAATTTTTTCAAGGGCCTACAAGACGTGGATTTTTAAAGATTAATTTTTTCAAGGGCCTACAAGACGTGGATTTTTAAAGAATAATTTTTTTAAGGGCCTACAAGACGTGGATTTTTAAAGATTAATTTTTTCAAGGACCTACAAGGCGTAAATTTTTACAGAATAATTTTTCAAGGACCTACAAGGCGTGGATTTTTAAAGAATAATTTTTCAAGGACCTACAAGGGGTGGATTTCCTTACATTTCCACCTATCGCATTACTCATTTGCACACACATACATACCTCTGTCATGGTGCTCCTCGAAACATTCAAGAATGTTGTTGCCTTCAGTATCACCGGCCTCTGGGAACGAACAATTATCGCAATTAACATTTTGCGATAACGTAAATCACTGTTTAGCCATTCCTGTGAATAGACAGCATCGCCTATGTCCTCGCTCTATGTGGGAAGATAGTTTATGACAATTTGATATGGAAATTAGTGCCTTTGTTCGCAATTAAACCAAAATGCACACAAACACATACACGGACTCATGTAGTCACCCACACACTTACCTTTATTATCAATTGTTGTCCATAATTGCATATCATTAGAATTTGTACCAACGAACAAAAGAGAAACATGAAGAGCATTACCAAGGTATCCGCCTCAACGCCAATGGTCATTTGAAAGCCCAGAAAGCACATAATAAAAGATGATGAAATGAAATTGACCAGAAGGCTAACACCGAACACTTCGTTCATTAGTGATGACAAGCTGCAAAGAGAATGGGAAATATGGGAAATTACATATGCAGTTGGTAGGGATAAAAGACAGGAATTGAAGAAGGTAGCCACGCCTTGCAGGATCTTGAAAAAAAATATTTTTTATAAATTAGCATATTGAAGGTCCTTGAAAAAATATTTTTTTATAAATCCGCATTTTGAAGGACCTTAAAAAAAATTATTTTTTTTTGTAAATCCGCACCTTTAAGGACATTGAAAAAATATTTTTTTGTAAATCCGCGCTTTGAAGGACCTTGTAATATATTTTTTGTAAATCCTCACCTTGAAGGACATTGAAAAAATATTTTTTAATAAATCCACACTTTGTAGGTCATTGAGAAAATATTTTTTAAAATCCAGGACTTTTAGGTTTTTGACAAAATTATTCTTCAGGATCTTGAATAAATTTCCGCCTCGAAGAATCTTGAAAACATTGTTTTAATAAATCCACGCCTTAAAGGATCCTGAAAAAAGCCTTTTTTGCAGGATTTAAAACAAAAATATATTTTTTAATACATCCACGCATCAACGGATCTTTAAAGAATACTTTGTAAAAAAATCGACGTTAGGTTGGTTTTCAATGTCCTTAATAAATCCACGCCTTGCCGAATCTTGAAAAAAAAATTTAATAAATCCATTACTTGCAGGATCTTGAAAATATTCTCTTTTAAAAATCCACGCCTTGTAAGTCCTTGAAAAAATTATTCTTTAAAAGTCCATGCTACAAGGCTCATGAAAAAATCCAGGCCTTGAGGTTAAAATGACCGACTTAGAGGTCTTAAATTCTTTTTATCAAAAAAAATCCACCCAGGCATTGATGGGCACCTGAAAATAATTCCTCAAAATTGTGATACTCACTGTATAATAGCCTGATGATATTTGATATTTTCCGCCAAAAATTTCAAATCTTCCGAATAATTTCCCGTCGGCCGATACTCCCTTAGCCGCTTAGCCAAATATTGAAAATGCATAATTATCTGTGTAGCCGCCACACACAAAAACAAATCATTTGCCAATTGTCCAGACATACAGGTATGACCCGCAAAATTTTGCGATGCATATAAAAAATAATACGACCAGTGGCCCTGCCACTGCCAGGGCACCCAACAGTAATACGGCAAAGTCCTGGGTATTGTGCGCCACCCCAACCACAGCTCATAGATTAAATAACTCACAGCTGTGTACAGATTATAGAACCAAATTAAAATCTCGTGGACCACCACAAAGCCCAAACTGATTAAATTGAAACGCCAAACAAATTGACGAACATAATAGGATTTTTGCAAATCCACATCCTTGGGGTAGATATTTTCAATTTCCTTCATGAGTATTGTTAGGACGGGCTTTTTGCGCAGCACACTAATGATTTTGATATCTCCGACAAAAACAAAGCCGATGTATGACAGGTTCATGGTCGCCTCCACAAAATTATTGCCATTTTTCATGGCCAACAGGACAAACATAATTTCCGAGAACAAGACAAAATTCATATTCACCATATTAATGATGAAAATGATTTTCATTAGGAGAGCATAGTGGCTACCCCGCTTGCCCCGATCCTCCTCGTCATAGGGTATTAAACCTATGGATTTAGCCAAAATATCTGCTTGTAAAAGGAATTTATTTAAGCCAATAATCTTCCCAGCCTTGGGCGCCATTGTTATGAATGAAGATTTCGTTTCGTCGATGTGGATTTCCGTTTTTGTTCCTGACGTATTTCCAATTGAATTTAAACTGACGCGAATGCCTGAAGCAAGTATTATGATTATGCCTGTCATTCAACAATCATATTTCTATAACCTCACTCACTAGCTCGCTCTTCGGTATGTCAATTAAATCCAAATCGAAATCATTAAGGTGGTTCTGGGTTTGTATAACTGTTCATTTTAAAATTAATTTTTAATTAGTTGAACTTTTTGGTGAGGGGAGTCGTTCTTCGAAAATTGGATAATGATTTAATTTTTGTACACATTTTAATATATGCTTATTTCAAGAACAATGCAATGAGTGGATTTCTGAATGAAAAAAATTTTCAGACCAAAACAAGGTGTGGATTTTTTTAAAGAAAAACATTTCATTTTTTCCAGGTTATAATAAAGGATGGATTTTTAAAGAATATATTTTAAGGATCTGCAAGGAGTGGATCTTTTAACAATAGCTTTTAAGGACTTTCAAGGCGTAGCCTTTTCAGCCATTTATATTTCTGGTTACTTGAAAATAACCTGAAAAAATGTTTTTAAAAAATCCACGCCTAAGGATAGACCTCAAAAATGTTTTTAAAAAATCCACGCCTAAGGATAGACCTCAAAAATGTTTTTAAAAAATCCACGCCTAAGGATAGACCTCAAAAATGTTTTTAAAAAATCCACGCCTAAGGATAGACCTCAAAAATGTTTTTAAAAAATCCACGCCTAAGGATAGACCTCAAAAATGTTTTTAAAAAATCCACGCTTAAGGATAGACCTCAAAAATGTTTTTAAAAAATCCACGCCTAAGGATAGACCTCAAAAATGTTTTTAAAAAATCCACGCCTAAGGATAGACCTCAAAAATGTTTTTAAAAAATCCACGCCTAAGGATAGACCTCAAAAATGTTTTTAAAAAATCCACGCCTAAGGATAGACCTCAAAAATTGGTTTTTAAAAAATCCACGCCTAAGGATAGACCTCAGGATATACCTCAAAAAATGTTTTTAAAAAATCCACGCCTAAGGATAGACCTCAAAAAATGTTTTTAAAAAATCCACGCCTAAGGATAGACCTCAAAAAATGTTTTTAAAAAATCCACGCCTAGGGATAGACCTCAAAAAATGTTTTTAAAAAATTTACGCCTAGGGATAGACCTCAACCCAGTAAGGAAAGTAGTAAAGTCGACGGGGCCGACTATATGATACCCTTCACCACTTTGGGTATATTCAACAGATAAATCGGACGAAAATATATATGGGAGCTATATCTAAATCGGAACCGATTTTCATGAAATTTAACACACATCGTTCTAGACTTAATTTAGTAAGCTGTGCCAAATTTCGTGCAAAGCGAAGGATATATAGGGACTTTGGTACACTATTTACCTAAAATCGGACGAAAATATATATGTGACCTATATCTAAATCTGAACCGATTTTTGCAAAACTTAGCACACATCATTCTAGGCTTCACTTAGTACGCTGTGCCAAATTTCGTGCAAATCGAGTGGTTTTAGGGACTTTGGTGGACCATTTACCTAAAATCGGGCAAAACTATATATGGGAACTACATCTACATCTGAACCGATTTTCACGAAATTTAAACCCCGTCGTTCTAGACTTAATTTAGTACGCCATGCCAAATTTCGTGTAAATCGAAAGATATATAGGGACTTTGGTGCACCATTTACATTAAATGGGACGAAAATATATATGGGAGCTATATCTAAATCTGAACAGATTTTCAGGAAACTTAACAAACATCATTCTAGACCTAAATCATTAGGCTGTGCCAAATTTCGTGCAAATCGAAAGATATATGGGGACAATGGTGGACTAGTTACTCAAAATCGGACGAAAATATATATGGGAGCTATATCTAAATCTGAATAGAATTCCACGAAACTTAACACACACCATTCTAGACTTTATTCAGTACGCTATGCCAAAATTCATGCAAATCGACAGATATATAGGGACTTTGGTGCACCATTTATATTAAATCGGGCGAAAATATATATTTGAGCTATATCTAAATCTGAACCGATTTTCGCGAAGCTTTACACACATCATTTTAGACCTAATTCATTACGCTGTGCCAAATTTCGTGCAAATCGACGAAATCGGACGAAAATATATAAATATATATAGGCACCGCTTACATTAAATCGGACATATATATATATGGAACCTATATCTAAATCTGAACCGATTTTTCCCAATTTCATAGACCTCAAAAATGTTTTTAAAAAATTCAGTATTTACTCAGTATTTTTTTATCCACTCTTAAGGATAGAGAATACAAAATAATTTAAAAGAAATCACGCCTAGGGATAGGCCCCAAAATATTTGTTATTTCTTTAATAATTGAAATTACTGTCGATAAACATTTTGTCTATAATAAGTTTATTTGTCTTTATTTAAATATTCACATTACCTGTTTTTTACTTTGTAAGCCAATAAATATTTAATTTGTGAGGGCGATGAAAACCTTTCGGTCTAGCCACAAATTAGCCTAGTTATAGCGGCTGACATATATATATATATATATATATACAGTCAAATACTTACAATAAAAAACTTTTCATTGTTCCTTCAAATGGTAATTTGTGAACGAACAGTATCTTGTTATCGTTGTAAAAAGTTGTATATTCTTCCTCATTCTGGAACAGACCAATAGATTAATGCTTTCCATTTCTTGGGAAATCGATAAAAATAGACAAGTAATCGATTTTAATATTAAGTGACATTTTATGTTTAACAATGGACATGACGGCTGTAGCTGCTATGTGGACATTTAAATGTTTTTAGTTCTTCAATGTATTGTTTTATTTGTCTGGAGCTTTTTTTGGAGATCATAATTGATTTATTGACAATGATTGAACATTACTGTAGATTAAAAAAAAGATGGACAGTTTTCGAGGATATAAAAATAAAGTAAGATATAAATATTAAAATAGAAAAGGCAAAACTTTTTTGAAGTCATACATGGGGAAAACTTAATTTGGAAGCAAGTGAAAACGACATTAAGTTCTACCTAGACGAATTATTTTTACCCTCCGCCATATGGCATTCATTACACTTAATTACGGTTAGGAACCGTATGAATCCAGATGTGATTATAATAATGTTATAAAAGATGTAATATTTTGCAGACAGAAAAATTACAATTTCGGCTATAACCATATAAAGGTACTGTCAACAAAGAGATCCACCAAGAAACACATGGCGAATTTGGAAGATGTAAAAACAGCGGCAATAAACCGAATTAAATTACAATGTTTTCTGGAAGCCTTGTGCTTTACCAGTATTTTCGAAGGATCTGTTTTGATGCCAAAAAATCCACGCCTTAGGATAGACTGTAAAAATCACATTTAAAAAATCCACGCCTTAGGATAGACTGTAAAAATAACATTTAAAAAATCCACGCCTTAGGATAGACTGTAAAAATCACATTTAAAAAATCCACGCCTTAGGATAGACTGTAAAAATCACATTTAAAAAATCCACGCCTTAGGATAGACTGTAAAAATCACATTTAAAAAATCCACGCCTTAGGATAGACTGTAAAAATCACATTTAAAAAATCCACGCCTTAGGATAGACTGTAAAAACAACATTTCAAAAAT